CAAATCAGTAATGAACTTCAGCTGCATCAGGCACTTACCAGGCGCTCTTTGGCTTGCGATCTGATGCAGGCATGCTCTTTCCGGAACATGGAAAAATGGCACAGGCATCTCCTTGATCACCTTCAGTTGCCATCGCCTCCAGGATTCCGCCAACCTACCATGGAGCAAGTCCTCAGGGCAGACCGAACAGCCTGGGTCAAGATGGCCGAAAAGGTCACTACCTTGAGGCGCCAGGCGATGGATCCTTGCCACTGAACAGAGCGCTAGACGAACTTCCAGCAGATCCATCCATCATGTTCCACTTGATGCCCTTGCCGGTTGACAAGAGTACATCGACGCCCAAGCACACCGAGCCAAAATCCACGGCTGGCTCTGACCAAGGCCCTCCAAACATCCGGAAGAAGGACAAGAAGGTCAAACAGGCCAAGGGCAAGGGCAAGGGCAAGACAAAGGCCAGCAACAAAGGTCGTATGCCCTCCGAGCTCATTGGGCTGCACCAGCAGACCAAATCTGGGAAAAGGATGTGTTACAACTTCAATCTTGAGAAGGGCTGCAACCTTGCGGCTGCAGGACAAGGTGCGGACGTGGACTTCATCAATGCATGCGATGCTTTGGGGCCCACTCGGCCCACCAGTGCAACTCTGCACTGGCTTGACAATCTCAGGAAGGACTGTGCCTACCTCAGCCAGGCCAGTCCGCAGCCTCAAACAACCAGGTTGAGACCAACAAGCTTGACCAAGGGGTCAAGCGAAATTTTGAGACTTTCTTTTTCCGAGCAGTTTTCCAGGAGGGTGCAAGACAAGTCAATTTCAAACCTTCTTTTCATAGAAGTCTTTTCGGGTACAGCAGGCCTCACGGCCGAAGTTCGACGCCTTGGCTGCCAGCACAGTACTGGTGTTGATGCCCACGTCACAAAGCAGGTCAAGGCGCCAGTGCTCCGTTTGGATCTTTCAGATGAATCTGGGCAAGCTTTACTTTGGCGGATTCTTCAACAACCCAGAGTTTTTGCAGTTCACCTAGGCCCACCTTGTGGAACTTCATCGAGAGCCAGGGAAATTAAGAGGCGTTTTGGCCCCAATCATGTCCCTCTTCGAAGTGACCAATTTCCAGACGGCTTGAATGGTTTGTCTGGTCGAAACCAAGCACGTGTTACCACTGCCAACATTTTGTACCAACTCAGCGGTGAAATCATGGCATATTGCACCATGCATGGCATCATTTGCAGCCTTGAGAACCCGGCCAGATCCCATATGTGGAACACCTCATTCTTGTGCAGGCCGTTGGAGCCAGTCAGACACATGCTGGCAGAGGTGTTGTTTCATCACTGCATGTTTGGAGCCAAACGCCGCAAGAGTACAAAGTTGCTGGTTAACCATAACTGCTTTCAACACTTGTCCCGGAGTTGTGATGGTTCACACGAACACGACAGATGGGGTCGCAACCCACAAGGGTGGGCCACTGCCCTTGAAGTTGAGTATCCTCACGGGCTTTGCCGTGAGTGGGCAGCTTGTTTACGTCAAGCCCTCCTGGCTCATGGCGCCTCTGACGTGCCTGTTGACATGCAGCTAGACACTGATGCTAGCCTACACCATCGTGCTCAGGCAGTTCTTGGCAAGCATGTTCGTGGCAAGCGCCTCAAACCATTGATGCGTGAATATGACCATATTCTACATGTAGTGGGCCCCCATGACTTGATCCATGCCTTGCCATCAACTTCGAAGCAGCCACAAGTCATTTCACCAAGCTGCTCTACGTCTCCCCCTACAACAGTGTTGCCACCACATGCCAAACGACTACAAGCCCCTATTTTACAGGGGGATGGAGAGGGGCAAGGACAATTTTGGAAAGTGGAATACGGGATTGCTTGGACTCCAGAAAATTTTGTCCAACGTGCTGCAGGCTTATCGCATCCAGGACATTTTCTGGATGGTGTCCATTCTGTTTTGGCTAGATACCTGGAAAAGATGGCCAAACAATCCTTGCATGACCTGGCTCTTGAAAGGACTTCAGCCATGAGGAAATGGACTCTCAGGTTTGAAGAGCTAAAACGACAAGGAGTGGACGGCCTTGAGTCATCACCACCCCATGCAAAGGAGATCCTCAAGAGCAAGAACTTATGCCTTTTTGCGGAGCTCATCGAAGCGTCTGGGTCGCCGGATGTTACCCTGGCATCAGACATCGCAAGAGGATTTGATCTGATGGGGTCCATCCGTACGGGGGGCGTGTTTCCCCACAAGCCGCTGTTTGCAACTTTGCTCCCTGAGCAGGTCAGGGAGATGTCTGGCATGGCCAGGATTGCAACTTGGAATGCGGTCAGGAGAGGCAGAGATAATGAGATGTGCCAAGAAATTTTTGATGCAACCATTGAGGAGTGCGACAAGGGTTGGATGCGTGGACCTTTCAGCATTGAGCAGCTTCCTGAGAGCTCCATCTTAACTCGCCGCTTTGGCGTGAGGCAGTCAGCAACACTGGCAGATGGAAGCAAGGTCGTCAAGTTTCGGCCCATCGATGATTTCTCTGAGTCTCTGATCAATACAACAAACTCATGCGATGAGTCCATCCAGCCGATGGGTGTGGATGCGATTTGTGCCACTTTGGTCAGGAGGATGCAGTCTCGCCCGGGGGACCAGTTAGTTTGCAAGACTATTGATCTCCGAAAGGCTTACAAAAACCTTCCGTTGTCAGAAGCGGCGCTGGATGATGCATACATCTGTGTTTACTCACCGGCTGACGGGGCGCCCCGGGCTTTCCAAACGCTGGTGCTCCCATTTGGAGCGCGATCAGCTGTCATGGGTTTTTGCCGCACATCTTACGCCATCTGGCGCATAGGTGTGGTGGTGTTCAATCTGCATTGGACGGTTTACTTTGATGACTTTTTCTTGGTGGCCGAAATCTACGAGTCTAAACATGTTGACCTAGCACAACGGCTTCTTTTTATGGTTACTGGTTGGCAAACGTCAGATGAGAAAGAAGGTGGATTCAGCTCCATTTCAAGAATCCTGGGCGTGCAGATCGACCTGGGAGACTCTCATTTGGCTTCTGTTACCATTTCCAATGTTGAAAGCAGGGTGCGTGAGCTGACAACGACGATAGATGACTTGTTGGCAAAGGGTAGCATGACCACTGCTGAGATGAGGGCCCTCCGTGGCCGTCTGGTTTTTGCAGAGGCCCAGATTTTTGGCCGTCTTGCAAGTGTCCACATGAAACGGCTGTCCAGACTTGAAAGCCTGGTTGGGGAGGTTGCCATTGACCAGGAACTTGGTGAAAGTTTGATGTTTCTCAAGGACCGGGTCATCACTGGCGGCCCTCGACGGGTACTTGCATCAGTTGGCCGTGTTTTTCATTTATACACAGATGCATGTTTCGAGGAATCTGTGGGTGGTGTCGGAGGTGTGTTGTATGACCGGAATGGTGTCATGCTATCCTTCTTTTCAGAGCAGCTTCCTGCTGGTCTAGTGGACCTCTTGAACCCATGCCAGAAACAGAACTTAATTTTCGAGTTGGAGGCACTCGCAGTGCTTATGGGTGTGTCGTCTTTGCTTGATCCTTTGGCAATACAGCCGTGTGACCGTATTGTGATTTTCATTGACAACAACTCGGTGCTTGCGAGGCTGATCTCTGGCTCAGTTGGTACTGGAGTCGACCGCTTGATCTTTGAAGGGATTTTGCTTTGGGAGTTCACCGTGTGTGCGGTGACTTGGTTTGAAAGGGTGGCTAGCCATGCAAATGTTGCAGATGAACCCTCCAGGGGTGTTTACAACCACCTTGATGAAAGGTGTAGGATCAATGTAGATCCTGACATGTTTGTCAATGACCTCTTGGCTCGCTCTAGAGCAGGTCAACAAAAATGGGGGGCTGGCACCTGCAGCAGAACTCCCCAAGCGTTAAAAAGATGTGTTGCTGTGCACTGAGCAACTGTTGCAAGAATGGTAAGTTGATTCTCACGAGGGAACTGGGTGATAACACCTTATCATGGCAGCAACAAGACCTGAGATGTCAGGTCGAGTTGATCAGTTGTTCATCGTATGTTTGTAGTTTTGGCTCAGCAACACTTTTTGTCCCTCCTACCAACCCCTTTGTCACCTCCTGTTTTTTTTTCCAATGTCCAATGCATTTTATTTTGGGCATTTGCATTCTCTCATCTGTACATCATTTTTCTGACTCATGCTGGCTGTCCTCCGGCCGCTGACCCGTCGCTGCAAGAGCTGCTGCAGCCATTGATTCATCTTGACCGGCAACTGCAACTTGCTGCTTCCGTGGTTGATCAGCTCAAAGACTTAGAAGATGGACTTGAAACCATGCAGCTCCCAATGTGCTCCCTTTGGTGCGTCGATGTATCCAATGGCTTGAACGCGGCATACACGAAATGCGACTGTACCGCTTCCTCCTCTTTTACCAGCTTCCAAGGGCCTTGCAACTCTCCTTTCAACGGCATCAGCGACCACCATTGATGGATTTAGATTTCAATTGAATGTGGAAGGACATCCAGTTCTTGAATCCATTTTTTTTTCTCGATTTGCGGTGCCTACCCAGCCGTTGGCTGGCACCTGCAGCAGAACTCCCCAAGCGTTAAAAAGATGTGTTGCTGTGCACTGAGCAACTGTTGCAAGAATGGTAAAGATATAATAATATCACCAATATATACCAATATAACTATGGTTCTATTTATATGTATGTCCACTTACAAACGGAATTGCGCGGCGCGCCAAAGTATAATATCAACTTCATGATTCTCTTTTTGGTCGGGGTTTGGATGCCCCTAGCTGCTCTTGACGGGTCCTCACTCGTCAATGACAAATCCACCTCATTGAGATTAGAATCCAGAACCGTGTGTGTTAACAGTGTGTGTTTATGCAGGACTATATGGTGGTTTGCTTATGATTTGGACACCCTTTTGGCTTTTGGTCGTTATCATCTTCAATGGTTCTGGACCAGAAACCAACTCTCACTACACCGGTGGCACATGGTGGCAGCCGACCTGGCCCGACCTGGCTGTGCAGGCCACCACGGAACCTTTTGATGTGCAGATGGAGGTTCCACTGGTGGAGCAGCAGGTTGAGGGTAATTACAACAGACCCTCTGCAGCAGCGGGATACCCGAGAGGGGCAATCAAATGTGGCAGTGGAAAATCCATGAAAATCCCCTAACTATAAACAGAGGCTATAAGTTATGGGAAAATCGTCTATGACAAGGGATTTTCCATTGCCACATTTGATTACCGGAGAGTATTGCCATAAGTTGCCACTGCACCGGTTGTCCCCACCGTGGATTGTTTGACACTGCGTGGAGGACGCACCTTGATAGAATGTGCTTATGCGTTCTTAGCCCTATGCCCTATGCAGCCTCATGAGGGTAATGGCATTGATTGTGATGCGTCGTGCTTGCTGAAAGCTGCTAAATTAAAAGATCCTAGTAGATGCTAAGCAGATGCTCAAAGATGCACCAGATTTCAAGTTGTCGGTATCCAATGCCTCAATGCATAAGCGCTGAGGTCAGATCAAGTATGACTTGATGAGCGCAGCTGCTCGACAAGCAGCTTTCCATTACCAGGCAGGTGGTGTTTGATGACATTGTAGCAACTTCCAGAAAGTCATGTCAAATCCTACTGCAAAGAATGAGGAAGGGAAAAAAACAAAACCTATCTTTTTAGGGGGCTTACTATATATTACTATATCGCATAGGATCCATGGTGCTGCTATATATGGTAACATTTACCATCAATATACCCCAAATGTTAGCATATATACCAGTACCATGGATCCTATGGGTATGCCACTATATCATGATTCCAGCCACAAATGCGAGACAGATGGCCTGTCCATGTCTCCATATGTCTCCAACCGCAGGTTGCGGTCCTGCCGCACTACCGAGACAAGTACTTCCTGGAGCTTGCTGTTGAGAGCTGCTTGGCGGTCTTCCCGGGATGGGTGATGAGGTTCATGTATGTTCATGTCAAGTTCATGATTTTTGTGTAAAGATGGTAACAATATTTGTTCCTAAAAGAACATGGTAATGATCGATTTCTAAATGGTGAAAGAACCAAAACTCCCTGGTCAAATCTGGTTCACTGATGGGCCGATATCGGGCCCCCATGGGCCGAGTCATTTTCTTGAAACCCAGGATATTTGGACAGGTTCCTTGAGTTGAAACGCCGGAGACCGAATGAATTCTGGGTTCCCACCTATGACATCGACTGCGTGTGGCATGTCCATCAGTTGCACCCAACTGCTTACATCGCCGAGACCTGGCAGCAACGTTGGCAGCTTTTGGGTGCCAACTTCCAAGGAAAGCACAGTGTTTCATATTGAGACCCAACATTTTTCGATTTGATTAATCATCAATCAATTTTTTGTTATCAATTACATTAATTAATATACATAAATCCAATTTAAATATAATGACTAGTAGATTTCATTAATACGTTTTTTTGTTTCAATGTGAAGTGAACTAACACAAATCAGTGGCAAATCATGTTAAGGAACACTATTCAAAGTACCCTCTGGTTATTTAACATAGCCATGGACATCACCATTTTTAATAAGTAAACCATCTATTTCTATGGGCCATCTATATCATGGCTATGTTAAATAACCAGAGAGTAACTAATGAATTGCTGGTTGGTGGTTTGGAACATTTTTTATTTTTCCATATATTGGGAATAATAATCCCAACTGACGAACTCCATCATTTTTCAGAGGGGTAGGTATACCACCAACCAGATTGGTTATATATCATTTGCGAAACGAAAATTTGCAACACCTGGCAGGACACAGCTCGTCTTTGCGGCGCCGTGCTGCCACATGATGATAGCATCTTGGGCGAATGAATTTCGTGGCGTTGTGTTATGGGTTCAACAGGAGCCGCAACTTGACATGATGTGTTATTAGCTATGAATATATATATACATATACATGTAACATAGTCTATAATATATAGAATGATGTGGAATGTCATGTTGGTGTTGATGGTTGATCTTGGCCTCGGTGCAGGTGTCAATGATCGATCTGAGGGCTCACGCCTGTCCAACCGATGGACGGCTACTCAGGTCCCAAAAACCAGACGGTGGATTTTCCCGGGAACGATTGCCATCCAAGGAAAGTGAAATTCATTTGATGTCATATATATATTATATGTTTATTACATATTGTGAAAGCCATAACTGCCTGTTCACATGTGCTCCTCTCGTTCAGGTGGGTCCAACCTTCACCTCAGTGCATCCGCAGCCTCAGGGGAATGAGGGTTCAAGGCCCTTTGCAGGAGGGTGGGCGTGCTTGAGCAATAGCGCTATCAGTGACGCTTAGCAGAGGTCTCCAAGGTGGAAGGTGACCGGGTTGCGCAACTGATTGCAAGGAGTGTGGCTTCGCAGGAAAACAAGTTAGCGGATTTGGAACAGGGTTCCTGGTTTGGATTGCTCAGCTACCAATTGTCTGTTCGACATTGGTAGCGGAGCCGTGGCGATCAATTTTGGCCCGGCTACCGAATTCAAGTTGCTACGCTAGATGGAATCTGTTGGAGGACAATCCTCTACGGCTGATGGGGCAGGTGGTGTTCCGAATCAGTTGGCGATGCTTGTGCCTTCATTTGACCCAGCTACCGACAATGTGGACATTTGGTCCTCAAAGGTGACGCTTCTCCTTGAGGCGTGGCCGCAGAACAAGATCATTGAACTGATCACAAGGTTGATTCTCAGTACCAAGGGCTCAGCGTACCAGAAGTTGCACCTCCATCAAAAAGATTTACTGGTGAATGACCGCAAGGGTGTTCAGAAGCTGGTAGAACTAGTTGGTGGTACATGGGGACAAGTGCCTTTGGAACATCGTTTTGAGCTTGTGGAAAAGGCTCTCTTCAGGAGCCAACAGAAAGCTGATGAAACAGGCGACAGCTTCATAGCCCGAGTGGATGTCATCTGGACAGAACTCCTTTCCAAGGAGATCACCCTTGACCAGTTGCAGGCCTACGTGTTGTTGCGAGGCAGTCGACTGTCAGCTGAGGACAAAAAGAGAGTGCTAGTGGAATCAGGTGCTGAAACTACCGACAAGAAACTGGAATGGTCTAAGGTAGTAGCCGCCATCAGAATGTTGGGCTCAGCATTTTTCCAAGATTACACAGGTGTGAAACGTGAGAAGAATATGAAAACGTATGATCATCTGGCATTCAATGTGGATGAAGTCGATGATGATGGTGGCGAACCTGATGCATTTTGGGTTTCTGATGATCAACTGGATGAAGATACTCTAGCACAATTGATGAGTGAAAACGATGAAGACGCTGCTTTGGTAGTACAATTTGAAGAGGCGATCACAGAGGCGGTACAGAATGACTCTGATTTGGCAACATATTTTTCCTCTTACCAAGATGCCAGAAGGCGTTTGACTGAGAGGGTGAAGTTCAGAGGGTTTTGGCCTGTCAAGAAGGGGTCAAAAGGGTTTGGAAAGAAGGGTGCAGGAAAATCTGGGGGCAAGGGAAAGACCTTGGCCCAACGCATTGCCAACTCCAGTTGCCGGCTCTGTGGAAAGAAGGGCCACTGGAAAGCTGAATGCAGCCTTCGATCATCCGCCGCTTCCAGCACTGCCCCAAGTGAAGCAGCATCCGTGCCGATCTCCGTTGCTGTGGTTGAGAACGAGGTGCCATCCGAGATTCTCCACTTGCCTGAGATGCGTCTGAATGTGCCTTTGTCAGCCGAACAAGAAGCATGTTTTGGGGTAAGTTATAATGGGGATAAAAGGGTAATGGGGATTAATCGGGTAAATGTGAAAGATGTGATTCAAAGAATGCGTGCTGCTCTCAGGAATGAGCTTGTCCGTCGTGATGCCAAAGATGTAGTGAAGTCTCCGTGCCCGAAAGATTCCCCGTTGCCAGTGTCTCACATGCATGATGTCTCAGGTCACATGGCATCCAGCATAGGGAGTTTTGACATACACTTTGCATCCTCAGGAACAAATGGCATTGTAGATCTTGGTGCCTCTCAGACTGTAATCGGAAGCCAGCAGGTGCCTGATCTTTTGCAGGGTCTACCAGACCATGTCAGGGCAAAGGCCCACAGAACGCCTTGCCAATTAGTGTTCCGTTTTGGTAACCATCAAACACTCACGAGTAAGCATGCGTTGATGCTCCCACTCCAAAAGGGATGGTTCCGGATAGCAGTAGTGCCAGGTCCAACTCCATTTTTGCTTTCCAGCACTTTCCTGAAACAAATCAAAGCAGTGATTGACACAGAAGAAGGAACCATGTGGAGCAAGGCCTTAAAACGAAATCTTGTCATGGAACGATCAGCAAAGAACCTTTTTCTCATGGATTTGAACCAACTGTGGGATAATGATGTTGTAGATTCCAGTGGTGTTGAGGCCTCATGCGTAGCTCAGACTGCACTGTCCGACAGCAGCAGAACAAATGCCGCAGACTCTCAGGGAAGCCTTGGGAACAGCGAGCCCAATGACTCAAGAATGCTTGAAGATCACATTTCATGTCCAAAGATATCAGGTCGGTCGTCAAAAGTCTCATCAGTTTCAGGTCAGAAGAGTGATCACGATCACGAATGTACAGCAGCTTCGGATCAAAGTCCCATCCTTGAACGTGCATCAACATATCGCCAAGATGCCATCGTTGGCGCAGCAGTTCAAGGAGTTCAACAAGACCCAGAAGTCCCAGGTGTCGCACGAAGTGGTGTCCAGCATGACCTTGGAAGAACTGGAGTCGGAGAAGATAGTTTTCGGGGAAGCCAAGAAGGGCCAGACATTCTCCAAAGCCTTCGAAGATCAAGCCTGGACAGAGTTCATCCTGAGCCGTTTCGAGAACAGCGAGAAGCCAGAGCACATGATGTACATCCACTACATTCGGCTTCGACTTCAGGCCGAGCAGAAGAAGTCCAAGGTGCCTCAGAACACCAAGGAAGACACCAAGAGCACCAAGGGAATGCCTCCAGTTCCCCACGATGTATGGGAGGAACTCCAGCCAGTGGATGGGACAGAAGCCGTGATGAACGTAGCCTTTGTGCAGGAAGAGATGCACGACCTTCGTCAGAGCAATCAAAGCCTCTTTCACCGTGTGGGCCAGATCGAGTTCATGATGCAGGAAGTCTTGGAACACCTGCGCAAGATGCCAGTGAAGACGGAGACATAGCTCAACTGAGTCGATCTGAGGCAGAGCGATTGAGGCACAGTGTGTTCGCGGAGGAAGCTCATCTCAATGCAGCATTGGACACTGACTTTGAGTTTTCACCTGATCCAAACAACATGGGTTTTCACCGTCAAATTCAAAGATTGATCAATGTTTTTCAGAAAGAACTGGATCAAGCGGTTGCCAAATTTTCGACTTCGAGGCTTAAACTTCCAAAACTGGACTTGCTTGAAGTCATGTGCTCCAGTGAGAGCGAACTTGTCCGACAGGCAAATCTCATGGGAGGGCGTGCCAAACGTTTTGGATTGGCTGAAGGTGATCTCCAAACAGTCTCCGGACGACAAAAGCTGTTTTTCCTACTGGTAAATCAGGACCCCAAAAGTCTATGGTATAGTCCGGAGTGTGGCCCATGGAGCCGCTGGAGCATGCTGAACATGGGGAAATCTCTTCAGGGTTTGCATGATGTTTTGGAAAAACGCCGCTCCAGTCTTTGGCAGATCAGCTTAGCAGTGGTTTTGTATCGACACCAAATGCGGAGAGATCACCACTTCCATATGGAACAACCTGAAGGGTCGCAGATGCTCAAGGTGCCTTCCGTGAGTGAAATCACTGACGATACGCTGTTGTGCCGTTTTGATCTCTGCAGAATTGGAAAGCTTGTCGATCCAGAATCATCCATGCCCATCCGGAAACGCCTGAATGTAGTGACCTCCTCTGAGGCATTGGCAAATGCGATCCATGGGAAACTGTGCAATCAGGACCATCAACATAGGCAAATAGCAGGAAGCATCCGACACCAGGGCCACCGTATGTCCTTGTCAACGTTCACGGAAAATTATCCTGTGAAGTTTGCCCGACAAGTTGTCAAAGTCTTGTTGTACCAATCCCCAAAAGATAAGCCAGTGTTGACAGCAAGTAGCAGTTCCACTTCAGAAGACTCAACACCACCTGAAGAACATCCCACGAAAAAGCGTAGGCTAGGGAAGAAAATGAGTCCGATGGAGATTGCACAAAGATTTGCCAGCATCAATTGGCAGACAGTCATGCAGCAGGCGGACCATGAAGCCCCTCGGGTAGGACCACTTGTCATAGACTCTGGAAGTTTGATTCAAGCTGTTTCTCAACTGTGTCCTGAACATGAAATCAAACACGTGGTCCTTTGCAGAGGAACTGATCGATACTCAGGCCCAACCCGCAGTTTGCCTCCTGGCACCGCACCACTCAGAAGAAGAGTATGTATCCGTAGGAGACATGAGGACATAGTGGTTGATGATGAGTGGGAACCATGGGAACGTTTGACTCTCAAAGGTTTGAGGCGAAAAGGTACACCAGCTCGGGTTAGTCTCACAGTGTTTGCATGTGCCAAGACAGTGATTGGCCAAAGAGAAGATCGATCTGAAACTGTTCCAACGCCACTGCTGCCTTCTGCCGATGCATCGACAAGTCGGGCTCTTGAGGATGGAGCTCCTGAATCGTTAGCCAAGCGAGCCCGTATGGATGCACCAGACCCAGAGTCCAACCATGAAAGCACAGTCTCCCGGGAGACGATTGATTTAGCTGCCCAGAAACATGGACCAAAATTTCTTCAGCTCAAACCAGAAACTCAGTCATGGTTGATCAAGGTACACAGGAATCTAGGTCACCCAGGTGCAGCCAAGCTTGCCGAATTTTGCCGTCAATTGGGATGCCCGAGCGACATCTTGCAAGCCATTGGAGATCTGAAGTGCTCCACATGTGCCGAAAACCAAGTTCCAAAGCTGGCACGTCCAAGTGCCATCCATGACCAAGGGGATTTTGGGGATGTTGTTTCTGTAGATGGGGTAACATGGACCAATAAAGCAGGACAACAATACCATATATATCACTTCATTGATCAAAGCACTTTGTATCACACTGCCGTGGTAACCACTTCCCGCAGTTCAGAACAAGCGATCAAAGCACTCCATCAAGGATGGATTCAATGGGCAGGTCCTCCAGGACTACTCTGCATGGATTCAGCAACCGAGTTTAATTCTCAGGAGTTTTTGACCTTTTTGCAAAGACATGCCATCAAGCATAGGACAATAGCTACTGAGGCCCATTGGCAGAACTCAAGAATTGAACGCCATGGAGCAATTTTGCAGAACATCCTGAATAAGATGGATTCAGAGGAAGCCTTGGATACGTTTGATAAGGTAAGTCAGGCTACTGCCATGGCCACTTCCACAAAGAATCAATGGAGTAGACACCGAGGCTATCCCCCAGAGATGCTTGTGTTTGGCAAAACCAGTCGAGTTCCAGGTTCAATTGTGTCAGATGCTCAGCTTTCAGCACATGGACTGGCCGTGGATGAACGCCCAGAGGGAATTCGTTTCCGAGAAGAACTTGCACTGCGAGAACGTGCACGTCGCGCGTTCGTAGCCACAGATAACAGCCAGACGTTGCGCCGAGCCCTGGTTCAAAAGAGCCGACCTCATAGAGGACAATACCTCCATGGTGACCATGTCATGCTTTGGAAGAAACGAGGTGAAGCTGATGGTTCATGGATTGGTCCGTTGAGGGTTATTGTTCAAGATAACCACCACGTGGTTTGGATCACCATGGGAAGTAAACTCTTCAGAGTTGCACCAGAACACCTGAGACCGCTCTCTGCAGTTGAAGAATGGCATCAACATCAACAGGGAACCATTCCTGCCAACAACAATCTCCATGACAACAGAGCAATTTCCATTGACACTGTCATACCACCACATGGAGGAGTGCAATTTCACAATTTAATCTCAGGGTCACCAGAAGTCAATTCCAATTCCAATCTCAGAATCCCAATTACACATGATAACACCATACCTCATGATAATTCTTCCCATAATGTACCCAGCAATAACTCCAATGCCAATGAGGAACAACCAGATCTTGAACCAGTGCCGGAAAGCCATCCACCATCCGAACATGCTGAGAGAGAACCCAATCCTGTAGAGATTCCCATTCCTGATGATGATGATGAACTTTATGCAGAGACATGTCCGACACTGCATGTCGAAGCCGATCACTGTTGGAAGTTTGAGGTGCCCATTTGTGCTCTTGATGTCGCAAAGTGGAAAGAAGAGGCCAAGCCTCATGAGATGTCTTTTCTGGTCTCTGCTGCCAAGAGACAACGCAGTGAGGTCAAAATGACCCAACTTTCCAAGGAAGACAGAGAGCGATTTCAACAAGCAAAGCTGAAGGAGATTGACAGTTGGATTAGCACCGAGACCGTTGTCAAAGTTCTAAGAAATCAAATCCCCAGGGAAAATATTCTTAGATGCCGATGGATCCTTACTTGGAAAGAAATTGATAATTCTCAAGAGACCTTATCAAATCAATCATCCCCCAAGTATAAACCGAAGGCAAGATTAGTGGTCCTGGGTTTTGAAGATCCCGAAGTTTCTGAAATCCCAAGAGACAGTCCAACTATGAATAAACTCACAAGAATGCTTCTCCTCCAGTATGCTGCCAGTGCCAAGTGGGACATACAAAGCTTCGACGTCCAGACTGCTTTCTTGCGAGGAAGCGAACAGAATGGACGCATGTTAGCCATGGAACCACCGGAGGAAATGAGACAGAGATTGAAACTTCGACAAGATGAAGTAGTGCGTCTCCTAAAGGGGGCCTATGGACGTGTTGATGCTCCCTACCTGTGGTTCATCGAGCTGAAAAAGACTCTGGAAGAACTTGGTTTCAGAGCTTCACCATTTGACCCGTGCCTGTTCCATTTAAGTGACAACAATACACATGAAACCCAAGGCCTCATTGGGATACATGTCGATGACGGACTCTGCTGCGGAAATCACATCTTTCAGAGAAGCTCAAACAGTTAGAAGCAAAGTTTCCTTTTGGGTCAAGAAAGATGCACAATTTTGTTTTCACGGGTTTAAAGATTTCTCAGGCACATGACTACAGCATCACCGTGGATCAAGCCCAGTATGTGAAAGACATTCATGCCATTTCACTTTCCAAAGAAAGAAGAACTCAATTGGATCATGTTGTCACGGAAGATGAGAGACAAGCACTACGGGCCGTAATTGGAAGCTTGCAATACGCGGCAGTGAACACTAGGCCGGACATTTGTAGCCGGCTGGGTTGGCTTCAGAGTCAGATCAACAAAGCCAAAGTATCGACTCTGATTGAAGCAAACCGCACATTGCACGAGGCCAAGCAGTTTTCAGGGGTAGCTTTGAAGATACAACCGATTCCACTCAAAGATCTTCGGTTTGTAGCTTTCTCTGATGCCTCTTTTGCATCGGAAAAATGTCCAGAAGCTCATCAAGGAATGATGATCATGTCCGCACATAAATGCATTGGAGAAAACCAACGAAGCCCCGTAAATCCTATGGTTTGGCATTCGAAGAAGATCCAAAAGGTAGCTGTAAGTACTTTGTCAGCAGAAGCCATGGCTTTGGCAGGGGCAGTTGACATGTTGTCATGGGTTAGATTGTTTTGGGCCTGGATTTGTGATCACCGGTGTAATTGGCGTCAAGCCGACGAAACGCTGCTTCGACTGCCACCTGCGTTCTCAGCCTTGTCACCGGAGTTTCCGGATAAACAGCCAATGCCTGAAGTTGCAACTCAAATGCTCCAAAACATTTCCAAGTCACGATCAGATTTCATTACCACTGACTGCAAATCCCTTTTCGATCTTATTAACCGTAATGCTCCACCAACTTGCACTGAATTTCGAACACAACTTCAAGCCAAGCTGATTCGGGAACACATACAGAATGGAATCCAAATTCGGTGGGTACCATCGGCCGCACAGGTTGCAGATGCATTGACCAAGGTGATGGATAATACCATGCTCAGAACTTGCCTCCAACAGGGGTACTACAGTCTTCACGATGAAAGAGAGATCCTGAAAGCCAGATCTGATGCTAGAGCAAGAATCAAATGGATCCAAGCGCAGAATCCCGAAAGCAAAGAGTAGCGTTCACTCATGGAAAAGCCAAGTCGTCCACGATGTGAACAAATTCAAAGGTGTTTATCAAACAATTCGAGAGCCGTATGCATGCTTTTCCTTCATCCAACGATGCAGGATCACTGAGCACTGGGAAACATTGATGATCAATGTGAGCAATAGATATAACATGGGGAAGTTTTACAACACCATGTCATTGAGTCAGGGTGATTCAACGTTTGGGAGCCGAAGATGCATCCAAAATGCGCACATGGTGAACAAAACTTAAATAATAGGAATGTGAAAGCCATAACTGCCTGTTCACATGTGCTCCTCTCGTTCAGGTGGGTCCAACCTTCACCTCAGTGCATCCGCAGCCTCAGGGGAATGAGGGTTCAAGGCCCTTTGCAGGAGGGTGGGCGTGCTTGAGCAATAGCGCTATCAGTGACGCTTAGCAGAGGTCTCCAGTGGAAGGTGACCGGGTTGCGCAACTGATTGCAAGGAGTGTGGCTTCGCAGGAAAACAAGTTAGCGGATTTGGAACAGGGTTCCTGGTTTGGATTGCTCAGCTACCAATTGTCTGTTCGACAACATATATATATATATATATGTATATGTATATATATGATAGACGTGACAATGCTCAGTCCGTCGCCACGCCATGACCGCCCATCGCACAGGATGCTTGGAGAGCCGAATTCAAAACCATTGGACCCGTGAATCCAGGCGGGGGGCCCGACCTTGGTGGAGTCGACGGGGAGATTGGCAGCCATGGTAGCCATGAGCATCAAACATCTGGGGAGATATACCCTCTAGGAAAATGGAGGTTTTAATGGGAAAACCATAGAAAAACCATAGGAAAATGGAGGTTTACCCTCTGGTAAACTAACATAGCTATGGAAAGATCCACCATTTTTAATGGGTAAATCCCCTATAAATGGCCATTTTCAATAGTTTTTTGTATGTTTACCAGAGGGTAATATATATATATTGATATACAGGATGGGGCCCCCAAGATAGCTAAGTTGCCTTATATATATAAGTGGCTTAACTATAGTTTATGGTAGATATAACTATAGTTCATGGAGTCTATAGACTAACTTATAACTAGGGGGGCCCATCCTGTAGCTGATGGATTAAATGATTGGTGGAGATATACCCACCTAACATCACCTAACTATTCATCTGGAGAAACTATGATGACCTCACTACGTGATGAAGAAGTTTTGGGAATTGAATCATCCCAAGCTATCCCAAATCACATTGGTTCAGGTTGTTGAAATATTATCACCCGCCTAGAATCCATTCATTGAACTTCTGTGATTAGCTTCATCACAACTAGTGCCGGAAATCCAACAAGACAAACTGCTAGAATATTATGATATGCAACCTTTGATATATAAAGCTGGTTGCACCGTACAGATCCGTATAGATTATAGCTACATGCATGTACGATTTATGTTATAAGTCTATGTTTGCACCCTGAAAATTGCACATGGAACCTGAAGAACCGGGTCCCAAAGATGCTCCAGAAATGTCCCTAGTCCATGTCCCCAGGCAGTATGTACCGTGGCCAGCTCTCACTACAAGAGAGGCTACAACAGCCCAAGCAGTGCCTCAGCTGAAAGATCTAGGGAAACCCGCTCGGAAAGCGGCTTGCGACCTGCAGGAGTGATACGGTTTAACAAATCAACGAAAGTGGGGATGCAACCAGTTTAGGAATGCGAGTTAATCATTGAAAATGGGGATTTGAGTAATTTGACTATCAAACAATCGGAATCTACCCCACCAAACTAACACTTTGACCCTGAGAATTGCCAATTTTTAAAGGAAAGTAGTCTTCGAAACCCAAATTTGGTAGGGTCTATGTCAATGTTAGTAGGGGAACCATGGGGAACCCTATTGTGTCCATTGTCCCTTGAACTTGGGAAATGCCATTGATACAGACCAGGCACTGAGCATTCGGGTTGGACTAAGGAGAGAGCTGCTAGAGCATCCGACACAGGTCCTTTTTTTCTGGGTTTTGGCAGTCACCGATCGGTTCCAGTTGCGACAGCCTATGGAACTCAAATCAAGCAAATCCCATTTTGAGGTTACCAAGCCCAGCTGTAGAATTTTCAATTTGGTGGTCAGGTATCCAGAAATCATATGAACGAATTCCGAATTCAGCTGGAGGTTTCTAAAAATGGGGGTACAATAGAAAACCTCCCGAAAAACAACAACAACAACTACATAGATTTCAAGAATCTTCAAGAAATTTGGATGTATGAAAACTATGAAACCCATCGTCAAGCCCCCGAATGGTCAATGTTTGGATGATTTGGGCCAGGCGCTGGCGCCGTCATGGGAGGGCTATGACGTGAATCTAAGAGCTCCATGGGAAGAGTCCATCGAGTCCCACCAGGTGCGACCGAAGATGGGGAAATCATCCCCTTTTATGGCCGAACTATTCAGGTGAGTGAATTATTATAATTTACCCATATATATATATAATTATATGATTATATAAATATATAATTATATAATGATATAAATATATATAAATATATATAAATATATATAAATATATATAAATATATATAAATATATAGTGATATAATTATATAATTATATAATTCATTATATACATATATATATATGCATGTATACACTCACATATCGATAGATATTAATGCCGGTGCCATTTGTTCCGCTGATGGTCTCCGAGGAATGACTGCAGGAGAACAGTCTAATCAGCGATAACCTCAGGCTGGTTATGGGGCCCCAAGGACATAGAACGGTGCAATCCCCGCTAATTTTCAAAGGTCATTCACGTTTCGATTTTTTTTGGCTGGCCCTTGAGGCAAAGCTGTTCAGTGTGCTGTCATCACCGTCGGATACCCTGATATACCCTGCCATGAACATGATTTTTCACGCCGGGCCTTAAGAAATTTAATCCTTAGAGAGAGAGAGAGAGAGATAGATATATATATAAATATATATATACAAATATATAGAAATGGCCTTCACAGATGACATTCCACCGCTGGATGATTTCCAGGTCCATGATTTTTTATTCAGAAAACTGCCATTCCAACAGAGAAAATCATGATGAACCATGGGATGTTGTTTTTTTCCTCCTTATTTTTTTCAGACAAACCCAAATAATATGATATATATATACGCTATATATATATATACACGCTATATATATATATATATATGTTGTTGGTTATATAACCTGTGGAAATCCCCATAAAATATATAACCAACGGTGGTTCGCCTCATCTTCCTTCAAACGATGTCAGATGGGTCGCCGTAGGAGGTTTGGCTACACCGTGGCGCCGCGACGCAGACGGAGCTGCGAGGTGGACTCCGGCGCTTCTCGAGCATCGGAAGTCACACGGCGCAGGTGGTGCATGGCATCGCAGGAAGTCGGAAGTAGCTTGGTGGTCGGGCGGATGATCTCAAGGATGGCGGATGGAGGTTTCAAATAGCCAATGCCATTTGAGCCACGTTTTAAACCTCCGTGTTCATGTTTAGTATTGGGATCCTTGGGGATATTTGGGGAGGTTAAAAAAAAAAAAACATCGAATTTGTGGGATGTTTTTTTTGAGTGACTCAAGAAAAATAATGTGGTTTTTATTGGTTTCAAACACTGTGGATTCACTTAATGCCATAAACAACTCCCGTTTGGGGATGGGTTTTACCAGCCATGGGGGATATAAGGGTTGGTTTCTGATTTAGTTGGGTTCACCACATTATTTGGAATGTGTTTCAACCATAAGACTTTGGGCTGATTGGTTGAGATCACTGTTATAGCTCAAAACTGCAAACCAGTCAAGAATGGTGGATCCTGGTGTACTTTATCATTCAACACCCGCACTTCTGCTTTCTCAGATACCAGGTGGTTTGTTTTCTTATTTCTGGCTCACCTGCAGCCATTTGATGGAAGGCATATGTTCACCTCCTTTAGGCTTATGGGAATATATGGGAATGTTCGGAAGATAACTGTGTAGTACCTAAAACTTTCGGGAATCCGTCCCGGTCCATGTCACACAGGACGGTAAGAATATCTGAGAAAATTCGGTGAGAGATGGGGAACACCCTTTTTACAGCAAGCCTAAGTACATGTCCGTGTGTATCTATCTATCTATCTATCTGTCTGTCTGTTTGTCTATCTATCTGTCTATCTGTCTGTCTATCTGTCTATCTATCTGTCTATCTATCTACTTACCTATCTACTCGTATCTATCTACCTATCTACCTATCTATCCCATCTATCCTATCTATCCCATCTATCCCATCTATCCCATCTATCCTATCTATCCTATCTATCTATATTTATGTAAGTAATCCTAAAAAATATTAACACTAATAATAAAGCCAACCATGATGGTGAGATTGAATGAATTACAATAGGATACATGGGCACCAGTATAAATCGGCTTCATCCAAGGCTCTGGAGGAGTGATTCCCAGGGCGGAGCCAGGATGTTTGATCAATGGTTGCCCGTACTTTTCCAGTTTGTCTAAGCACTGAAGTGCCGAAGTGCCAAAAAGGATCTTCCAGAACTATCCAGAACTATCCAGAACTATCCAGAACTATCCAGAACTTTTGGTTTTTTGAATGACTTTGAATGAAAATCCATAACTTCAACCAGAATTTCTGGTTGTGAAAACGCCTGAGGCCTTTCAGCTTCGTGGAGGTCTGCGACGCTTCCAATCCGGCCTTGCCACTGGTCACGGCTCACAGCATTTCCTCGGATCAACTGCCGACAGAAGGGCAGCTGAGCACCTCGGCTGAGATCAAGTCATGGATGACTGGATGACTGGATGTACCCTCTGGTAAACTTACATAGCTATGGAAAATCACTATCTTTAATGGGAAAATCCACTATAAATGCTCATTTTCAATAGCTATTTTGACATAACCAGAGGGTATTGAAAACACCATGGTGACCAGGATTTGGATGGGCAACTAATCCAGACCTCCAAGATGTGCATCCCGCTTCGCAAGTGGGTAAGAAAATGTGATGGCTCTAGCATAAGCAACTGTTGTTCCTATGTTGAAACTGTTTATGCACATATAATGATGTACGCAATTATACACACACATATATCATATATTATTCCTATATCATATATTCATATATCATATATTCCTATATCATATATTCATATATCATGTGTTTGTATATTTATATATGTATATAAAGGTATGATATTCAATTACAGATATCATAGAGATGACCGACTAGATATTACAGATGGGATACATCCCAATCATATGGCATCATCAACCACCAACTGGCTACACCCCTGCCCTGCTGGGTCCCTAAGACGCGACAACTCTGCCGACTTTGACGAATTCCTGCATGGCGTTTCTCTTGCGTGTGGCTTCCGAAGACGTTGCCGTGGTCATTGGCCAGTGGAAAGGCGGGGATCCTATGTCAGAAAATTTCCAGATCCCATCATCCCATCCTTCCTTTTTGTTGGTACCCTGCCAGAAGATGAGAGAAGGTCGAAAATGCCCACTATTTAGTGGTCTTTCATGGTTTTTCTATATCGATCTTTTTGGGGACTGCTATAATATGAAACGTCCTCATTGTCTGGTCCCAAATAAGTGTAAGTCCCGTCCACCATGGGTTTATGCGAGTGTTTATATAACATTAGGGGGATGGCTGATGGGATTATTTGGTGGTAAATCCAACACATACCCTGCCATGCCAGCAGCTGGGGTTTCTAAGGTGATTGGAACACTTTTGAACTTTGAACATGCCTCTCCAGCATACCCCAAGTTCCTCCATCCCAAATGAAAAGAATACGAATTTATAAGGCATCTTTAAGTGGCAAGGGGTGTACTTCTTACGGGTTTGTTGAATTTTTACTTCAACTCCATGTCCTATGTTCCATTCAGATCCGTTCGGTAGAATAACCCCGTGTTTTATGAATTGGGGCTGGGTAACTGGCTACATCTGGCTACCAAATTTCATAGCAAGTCATGACTATTTTGGAGGCCCGAATTTTGACAGTCAGACTATTAATCCTCGGCGACATGTCTCGAGGTTTCCAGCTTCCGGTGAAGGGAACACCTGGCAGACCCGGAATCCCTGGAAATCGCGAAACCAGAACGCGTGGCACTCGTGGCAACCAGGGCAGATGGAGTCGTTTGGGGCAGGGGCGCCGTTGTGCTGAGAAAGTGCACCGAATCATGTACTGCAAAGCGATAGGCCCCCTCCAAAAACGATCACTTCTAACCATATATATGAGAGTGCATTAAGCTTGTGTAAGCCACGCAGATATTGTTGTGTACCTTCACGCAATGGGCAAATTTGGTGAAGAAAATTCAACCTGCAGTGCCCGTGTTTCTTGCATTTGCCGTATCATTTGTTGCCCAAGGTGACTGAACCGCTCTTTTCCCAGGTCCCAAAGAAGTAGAAATAGAATTAAAATTAACTAAATGCAATTGACCCTTAAATCAAATCAACACTAGTTTTAACTCTCCTTCTGAATTCTGTTGAATTGCTTTTCTTCAATTCGGGGTCTTTTCTTTCCTTCCTTTTTTCCTGTTTTTTTCTAACCAACTAATTGCAATCAAATTCTGAATTACAGTAAATCAGGTTTGACTTTAAATCCAATACTGAATTCCGTTTATTTCCTGTTTGTTTCATGTGTCCTTTCTTCTTCCTTCGTTTTCTTTTCTTGTTCTTTTCACAATGTTTTTCCTTGTGTTTTTAAATTTTCTTTTTGTTCCGCGTTCTTCTTTCTCTTCGTTTCTTGATCATCAAGGTGTTTTAGCGGTAACCTTGGCGATAGCCCCGGACGCTTACTCATTCCATCCCACATCTTTTCCAAAATAGACAAGCAATAAGAGGACGAAATGACATATACCCCCCAAAAAAAACCCTGATTTTGGAAATCTTTGAAGCTGATTTTGGACATGCGTTATGAAAAACAATTCCCGGCCCCTACATGTTTGTATTATTTATAGTTTTGATTTGAACAAAACACTATAAAGCGATAGCCCCCCCCGCAAAATGAGAAAATCATCGATAACCTATATTTTGGCACCAGGCGTAAACAACTGATTTTGACGGCGGCTCATGTGTTCAAGCGCGAACGAGTTCTTACTGGAAAACTTCCTGGCATCCTGCCGCAGACCTGAGGTACCAAAGGCATCAAGGGCAAGAAGGGCGTAGCTGGAAATATGTCTGTGAAGATGTATGCATTGCAGAGCGCAAAACCCATCAGGTCGCAGCAGGGAGAAGGACCAGCTTTTTGGGGCCCAAGGGATCCCAGGGGATCCATATTTTCTCTCATGGATACTTGTATGGGCTATATGGCCAAGGTATATGCATTCTGATGGCTTGCCTGAAGAATCTGCCAGGAAGAAAACGAGGATGGTTGAATTTGATGTTAAATCCATTTAAGACCAAGTTTTTCATAGTTAAGCCATTTAAATCCTAACTTTTGAGGGTCAAATCCATTTAAAACCAAGTTTTTCATGGTTAAACCAATTTTAATCCCAACTTTTGGTTAAATCCATTTAGATGCCAATTTTTGATAGTTAAACCCATGAAATCCCCAAGATTTCCCCAGGAATCGCCACCTTTCCCGGTGAATTTCTGCGATTTTTGTCCGAAGATCCCATGGCAGGGTACAGGAGCTGCACGTCTCAGCGGTGCAACCCTCAACCTTCAGAACCTTGGCGTGAGCTGGTGCCCAAGAAGGTGGTGTCCCCCAAGTTATGTTTGTTGATTTATAAAGGCAATTTTAAATATCATAAAACACAAAATATGGTTAGAATTTCCCATAAAACATTTTTTTAATCTAGGTGTAAAAAGTTAGTTGGTGTTTAAAAACCAATAAGCCAATAAGAAACTATAGTTATAATTCCCATAAACTCATGGATTAACCTAGTTAACCTAAGCAATTGAGTTGCAAAAAGACACTTTGTTTCACCACAATTTTAAAATTGGGAGCTAATGTATGCAACGATGTGGCTATTTGATGGGTATATTATATATATATGTACATATATGTGTGTTTTTGATGGGATATATTATTATAGCTAAGTGAATCAGTGAATTGAGTTAGTCTGACAAATAGGTGGTATATCTCCAAACAGCTCTTCTAAACGGAAAATGATGATTAGGCAATGAATTTATATAGGGTTTCACTTTTTTCAGACAAACCCAATTGTAGTTGGTTTTAAATGCAATTTTCAAAGATGAAGAGTAAACGAACCATAGTGGGCATGTAACGATCGAATGAGGATTGCGTGGATATGTATGGATATGTGAGCAAACATATGAGTAGTTGGGTTCGTCCCAAAATCGGGCATATTGTACACTTAGTTGTGCCCATCAGTGCCCGCCATTTTCAGGCAAAGTACTTGGCCATAGTGTCTTGCTTTCTTTCCAAGTTTGCACCAAGAATCGGCAAAGCCTTGGAAAGCTGCTGGAAAAATATTATGACTAAGCTAGAGGAACTGGTGTAGATAAGCAACGGGCCTTTGCAGAGATGGCGAAAGATGGGTTTGCTGATGCCGGAGCCAAGGCATACCGTTGGATGACCTGGGTGGCAAGGGCACGGTTCAAATCAGCGTGTCCACGGGCATCATCCGTGGGGTTAACAGGCCCTTGGAGGTTGCCATAGGCTACGGCTTGGCGTCCGGGCACCCAATGCCTCTGGAGTCCTATGGATTGACTGAGGGGATAGCCTTGTGAGCCATGGCAGGCCCAGCTGGTTTCTTAGGAATGCTGTCTTTTGATCCTCTCAGGTGATAATTCGACTGTGGAATATTGCCCTCTGGTAATCAAACGTGGCAATTGACAATCATCTAAATTCAGATTTTCATCGCGATTCTATAAATGGGATATTTTCCATTACCGTGTTTGATTACTGAAGGGCATAGATGGTTTGTCTCCTGCATTGTTGGTAGTGAAGACGGTGTCCAAAACTATGACATCTCATGCACATCCGGGCTATCAACCGCATACAGCCATTGCACTTATATTTATATATGTGTTTGAATTGCTGGGTGCAAGTGGATCTTTTCCATTTTCCACACGTTTAAATCCAGCATGAATTTCCAGATATGAATCTAACATAGAAAAAAATAATATTATAACTCTTCTAAAATATTCAAACATCCTGTAATATAATTAAACCTCTATTTCCATTTATATCTGGGAATATCTGGGAAGAATTCTGTTGGAAAATTATGAACAATCCCGATCATTTAGACTATTCCCCATCTTTTCAGTCTTTTTCTATCATTTTCCAATTCTCAAATGATTGGTGGATAATTATTTCTAGAAACAACATTCCAATGAGTTATAGTTTATATAGGTCTATATGGAAAATACATGCAACAATGATGGTTTTTTACCCCAATGTCTATATTCATAGAATTGGATGATGGTCTAAAATTTTAACCGGAAACCCCTATATTTGATGGTAAAAACATGTAAAAACCATGGTTTCCGGTTAAGATTTTCCCTTAACCCAATCCATTGTCTATATCATTCCTGGCACCAGCTTTTCCCCAGGCTCACCTTGGCCGCCTTGCACGTCTCGCTCCAGCCTCGGATGGCACCGCCAGAGACTTCCAAGGCGAGCTGAGTTTGATCCAACTCTGGTGATTTTTGATGTTTTTTTGATGCTGGTTTATGTGGTTTATGTGGTTTTAACATGAAATGAAATGAAATGAAATGAAATGATGCTGTGATATCAATATATATATATATATATTACCTCTGGTAAACATACAAAAAGCTATTGAAAATGGCCATAGAGATAGTGAGTTTTCCCATCAAAAATGGTGATTTTCCATAGCTACGTTAAATTACCAGAGGGTATGTGGTTTTAACATAGTTTAATCTGGTGGGCTTTTTTTGAATCTATGTGCTTGAAGTGGAATTTCACATGTGTAGATCGGATTTCACCGAAAAACTGCTGGAAAAGGTTACCCGTGTAGACCGATTACGTTATATTGTTCATTATTTCCCATGAATCACCAGAGGGTAGTTATTATCAGAATATTTGTCCCCGCCAGAAGACTTAGCTCTTATATGCGCAATAATTGTGTCACTCATTTACTTTGGGCAGGAGAGAACGAACTTAGCCGATGGTACTTTTAGACTTACTGAAACTGCAAACTGCACATGGTTGGATTGACCGCACATTGTACGCCTCATAAGCTACAACTGGAAAGATTCTTGATCAAGTCAAGACCTCCATCTGTTCTTGGCCTGCTGAAGGCTGTCATGGGGACTGCCAAAGGAGCAGTGTCCACCTCAGATTCCGCTTCTGAACGATGAAAGTAACAACCATTTACACCAAAAAATCTCGTTCCACACCTCCCTTGGCAACTCGTTTCTGGTGCAGCACAGTCTTCGTAGATTCGACCACAGTTAAGGCCCCAGAGCTACCATCGGGAGCAAGTCTCTACCCCGCCTGGACTGTTCAGCACCTCGAAGCGCGTTTTGTTTTGTGCCAGGCTGCCATGATTGAAGTAGGAACTCCAGGTATCTCCAGGTGGGATCCCCAGGTTTCATATGATTCATATGGTTTCATCATGTTTCATCATGAGAATTCTCCATGATCTCCATGTTCCACATGGGACATAGGCTGACTCAGGGCCATAGGGCCTATATGGGCCTTCTGGGGCATTTGGGGGCACTTTCTTCGTTGAAATCTATGGCCCAGCTATGCCCAGCTATCAGGCAGAAAAACTTTAAGTTGCTCACAGCAGCAGGAGGAGATGCCACGCAGAGTCTCTGCGTTTCCTCGTGGCACAAAGAGTCAGGAAACATGTCATTACGCGTAGGATTCTTAGCATGTTAGTTTTGAAGCAAGTAAATCATAGAGATCCTTAACAGGGGGGGGCAAAAACCACGTGACAAAAACAGGCCTCAAAATAGCTCAAAATAGCATTATTAAAGTTTAATAAGGCATTTTGAGGCATTTTGAGTTTTGTTTTTTTTGCATAATTTTGGGGAAAAATGAGCCTCAAAATGCCTCAAAATGCCTCAAACTAGCTCAAACTAGCTCAAAAATCATTCGAACTTCTGAATCTTTAATTTTGGAAGATGTTGACCATTGATTTTGACCCCCGGGGACTGTAGTAAAATCATGTAAAATCAAATAACCACAATTGGAAAATGTCACGAAAGTAGAGTTTTTTCCATGGATGTGGGTCAAAATGGAAGACCTAGGGGACCACAGATGTTAGTCTAGTTTAGTATTCACCATCCAATTATTGGGGTACCTAATTTTGACCCATACCCCCATCACGTTTCCAGCACCAGCCGCCCACCGGGTGACCAACTCTCAGCCGCTTCGATCCAGGATCAGGACAGTCAGGGCAATGATGGAATATATATATATGTATGTATATATCGGGAAGCCACCCTTCAATACTCAGAACAAATATATTATAGAGCAACAACACTAAATTTACATCTCCCAAATTGAAGATTTATTAATAATTACAGACCAATGCATATATAATATATACATATATGTATACACAGTATCTATGAATCTAACTACCTACCTACCTACCTACCTGCCTACCTACCTACCTACCTACCTACCTACCTATCTTATCTATCTATCCAACCATCCAAACCGAAACTCACTGAATTATTTAGTTTTTGACAGTGGTGCCCGGTGCGGTGCAGCGCGTGCTGCTTGGCCATGGACAATATTGTTGACTTTCGGGTTTTTAGCTACACGACGGATGTCACAGGTCATATTGAGGTAGCCCTTCACAAAGATCCGAACCAACAAGTATGCTGGTCGCTACGCCAAGTTGTGTCAGCACTGTGGGGCCAGGAATCCGTGGCTGATACAGACCATAATGCTCACCAATGGAAACAATGTGTATCAGCGATCTCAAATCAGCATGCCGCTATCTGGCCGGGGGTTGGATTTCCTGAAACATTGGCTTTTGCTACTTGCTCAGCCATTGCCGGTAACCGCCCCAAAAGATACTGGATCCATACTTCGGTGGTCCTGGCCGCCACAGTGGAATGCATGAGTAACACCAAGAGGAAAGTAATCCCAAGACAACGGGCTCATTTGATTCTGACTCAAATGATCAATGCAGTGGCGATGGAAGGCCTGGAGATCACTGTGCAGCATGTTAGGGTTGATGGAACGATGAGCCGACATAGAATCACCGTGGGAAGGGACGGGTGTGTTGCAAATTCTGTTGGGGAGCTGTGGGATGCCGGATTCTGGAACCAGCTGTTAGCCTCTTATTGGGTCTCCGATCTGAACTCTGACCAGAAACCTTGGGTGCGCACACCACAGGGAAAACAACACGTAGCAGACTACATTGCATTCATACTCGATATGTCACGGGCTGAAAGGGTGCGTGTCAATAAAGAGATGGTTGCAGCCAAAAAATATTACTGGTCGTCAGCACTGGATGTTGTGTCCCAAGTGGCCTTTGCACTGGATAGCTTAGTGCGGAAGGGTCACTGCACACAAGCTTTGACGGGGGAGATCAGCAAAGGCCAGGGAGTCCGGGCGGGAGGGGCTCAAAAATCTGGATCACGGGTGGAAAAATGCGAAAAACATCGAAAACACATCTATAAGCCTAAAAAATTCATTTGCTATCAAATCCTTGTGGGGGGCATCAGTTTCTTCAATTCCTCCAGCACAAATCTAAAATTTTGATGGACTTGGAAACCTGACAGGCAGAAAGAGGTGCATTTCAGCGCATGTGTGGGCCATCACTGGCGAAGCCGCGATAAAGCTGCACTCAAGAGATGCAACTTCACTCGCATTAGACGCAAACAATGGGTCAGTTTATCTTCAACATCATCTGGAAACCAACACGCACGCTCAAACTAGCTTAATCTAGCTCAAACCAGCTCAAACTAATTCAAACTGGCTCAAAAATAAGATAAAGTCGGAAAGGACACCCAAAATCCCTAGGTTTCCTCAAACTAGCTTAATCTAGCTCAAACCAGCTCAAACTAATTCAAACTGACTCAAAAATAAGATAAAGTCGGAAAGGACACCCAAAATCCCTAGGTTTCAATGCATGGTAAAATATTATTCATGCAACATGTAGGAAAACCACACCTGGACATTTCGTCCCAGGAACGTTGGTGGTCTTCTGCTTTGAAAAACCTTGGAGTTCCGAAGGACCGAATCAATGTGACAAAAAGCTGCTGGCGGCATATCGTTTTCTGGTTGCATTCAGCGACCCTCCTGTGGAATGACATGGTTACCATGTGCGGCAGGCATAGGCTTGCCAAACATAGCCATTCCAAGACAACGAGATCAGATGTGAGAACACCACGTGCTCTTGTAATCTAAGGCAGTTTATCTGCACACCGCGAGGGAAGCACTCAAAGATGAGATTCACTTGCAGGCGCTTCCCGTTTACTCAGTTTGGGCAAGTCCTGGCTAATAGGCAAATGCAAAACATTTTGAGCTAGTTTAAGCCACTCTGAGCAATTTTGAATTTTATTTAATCGAGCTTGTTAGTTGAAGTCTGCCAGGAATACTCATATAATTGTGGCATTCTTTCATAGCAATTCCTTAAAATTCCTTAAAATCTTTGAATTTCCATCAAAAACTATTTAAAATTCCTTAAATTTCCTTTAAATTGTTTGAAATTCTTTAAATTCCTTAAATTTCTTTAAAAAATCTTTAAAATTCCTTAAATTTCCTCAAAATTCATTAAGATTCCTTAGGCTTCCTTTAGAACAATTGAAAATTCCTTTAGAATTCTTTTAGAATCCCTTATATTTCATTTAAAATTCCTTTAGAATCCCTTAGCAATCCTTAAAATCCCTTAAATTTCCTTAAAATTCCTCGCATTTCCTTTAAATTCCTTAAATTTCCTTCAACTCCCTTAAATTTCCTTAAAAGGCCATCATTTTTTAAATGTTACCTAAGATTCCTTTTTTTTTTGAATCCCTTAGAATTCCGTTTAAAAAAAAAACGCTTAAAATTCTTTAAAATTTTTAAATTCCTTAAAATTCCTTAAACGTCTTTAAAATTACTTAAATTTCCTTAAAATGCCTTAAACTTCCTTAAAATTCTTCAAAAATCCTTAAGATTCCTGGTAGGATCCCTTAAAATTCCTTTAAAATTCCTGTAGCATCCCTTAAAAATCTTTGAAATCCATTAAATTTCATCAAATTTCACCAAGTGTCCTTTAAATGCCTTAAACTTCCTTAATCTTCCTTAAATTTCCTTAAAGTTCTCATTTAAAAAAAAAACCTTAAGATTGCTTATTTTTTTTGGAATCCCTCAAAATTCCGTTTTAAAAAAACCCTTAAAATTCTCTAAAATTCCTTAGAATCCATTAAAATTCCTTAAAATCTGCTAATATTCCCAAAATTCCTTAAAAGTCTTTATTTTTTAAGCTTCCTTAAAATGCCTTAAATTTCCTCAATTTGTTTCAAGGTTTCTTAAAATTCTGTAAAATTACTTAAAATTCCTGTAAATTCCTCAGATTTCCTTAGATTAATAAAAATGTCATGCCAAAAAAAACAATATAAAGAGATCCTGGAAAGGAAATGGTTAGTTCCATTCTGCAAAACAATGCTCCAACCCATCCATTTCTAGTGCGGAAATTGCCACGGGGGTGATTTTCAGTGTTAATTCCCACTTTGGGGGGGTTGTCCCTGTTGTGCGCAAGTGCAGGTGCAATTTGATGGCAGTCACTGTCAAGGAGTGCCATGTGAAATTTTCATGGCAACATGGCGCAATTTTTGGCCAGTATGGGTGGCTGGGGTGGATGTGTTCAACTGCGACATGAGTCAACAGGCAACATTCCCACATAATGAGGGAGTATCCCTCTTGACACGTAAGCCTTAAGCAGTTTGATTGTCCTTAAGTAATTAATTGCTGTTTTATCAATTGCGGTGTAAAATTTTTTCCACACCACCATTATTGCCCAACATCTTTTGCATTTTTGAGGTGTGGAGTCCTGAGAAGGAGATGGCAGCCTACGGGCCGCCCATTGTACCCGTCTCAGCTTGAAGTGGTGGCCACTGGCGCATGGGGGGGGGGCACGCCCCAAGCAGTGAATACATTTGAATTGACTGGTCAGTAATCAAAAGTTGTGTCCCACTGCTAATGTTAATCCACTTTGAGCTAGTTGAGTTTTAATGATCCACGTCTTACGATATGTGTGCATAGTTCATTGTGTTTTCCATAGCACGTGATTTACACCCATCATTTCTGAAGGAGTTGGACTGTAGGGTCCATATCTACTACATTGAATTCAGGATATGCACCGCCTAACCAGGGATTCAGGCTCAAGGCACATTTTTTTTGTTGACAAGCACATCTATTTAAGGGATTGTCATTTCAATTCAATTTTCAGTCATTTCGGTGACAAAACCATTAACACAGAATCATTTAGGATCTTCTTCTTATGCTCAAAAAACTATAGGAAAAGGGCTAAAGCCTGCAAAACCACGGAACTTTTTGTTTGAGAACCCAGGAGTGTTGATTCACACTCGGGTTTTCGGCCACAGCGGAATGGATTCATGCCTATCGGAATACACGGGCATGGTTACCATGTCAGATCATGGTAGCGACTCTAGCCACTCCGGCAGCAGAGGGAAGGCGAAGAGCTCATCATCAAAGACTTCTTCGGTGTTGTCAGACGCGCCGTTTAAGGTCTGGTTTTGGGAAAACAAATCATTGCCCCCAGTTCAGTTCAAAGATGTTGTACATAGTTGTTTATCGTTTCTGTTGTTGACCCATTTCATGGGGGCGCAC